GGCCTCGAGGGACCGCATCCGGCCCCCAGGCCTTAGGTTGCCTACCCCGGTCTAGAGGGATATCAGTGCAGGCAGAGGCCAGTCCTCTTCTTGGCCATGTGGACCAGGCTTAGTTTAGTCTCCTGGCTTCTAGGGAGAGTTCAGGCCTGCTTTAGAACCCATTCATTTGTCTTTTTGGCAGTCCAGGGTATCCATAGAACTCTTCTCTAGCACCTCATTTCAGATGGGTTTATCTTCTTCCCATCAGCTTTCTTCGCTGTCCAGATTTCACAACCATGCATAGTAATTGGAAGTACTATGGCACAGATGATTTTGACTTTAGTGTTTAATGATATATCTTTACTCTTCAGAATCTTGTCTAGTTCCTTTAAAACTTCCCATTGTCTTCTGATTTCTTGACTACAGTCTCCATTCTGATTAATGACTGAGCCAAGGTACAGAAAATCTTTAACTATTTTGATGTCTTCAGTACCTATTTTAAAGTTTTGAAAATAATCTTTGGTCATTATCAGGGCTGTCCACTAATTTAAAGAAAACGTCTAGTTGTCTTTTGGCCAGCTATGGAATAACTGAATCAATGCAACTACCACTGAGGTAGCCTTCAGAGACATATAAACATGTTAGAACTACCACTGTGTCAGATGCAAAGCCATCTGAAATATCACAATGCAAAAGGATCTTGTAGCACTGTTGAGACTAAGGAGTTTATCACACAGAAGGCTAAGTGCTCAAATCCCGTGCGGAAACTGGATTTAAATTCCGAGAATATCCCGCAAAAGCAGGATCATTTTCAGACACATTGGGGGCATGGAGCACCACTTTTTACTTTCAGGAAAATCCCAAAAGTAAAAAGCGGCCAATTTTGTCCACTTTTTGTGCGTATTGATGTCAGATTAATGCTCAATGTCCCCGATGTGTCTGAAAACAATCCTGCTTTTGCAGGATTTGTCCACTTTCAGTGTGGGTTAATTTCGGATTAATGCCCAGTGCATCTGAAAATGATCCCGCTTTTGTGGATTTAAATCCCATTTCTGTATGGGATTTGGCCAATTCCCTCCCATGTGATAAACTCCTAGGTGAAAATAGTTGTAGCATTAACTTTCATAGACATGAGCCTACTTCCTCAGATGTATGAGGGGGATCATAAAGTTTTAATTATCATCTTTTTTAAAAAAAAAATTGACAGAAAGTTTGTTTTGATTTGTAATTGTTAAATTATCTCTATGTAATCACATTCCAGATTTACACATTTTCCCCAGCATTTCCAAATACTGTTATTTTAGAAGTCTGCAGATTGCACCTTAAACCACTCTTGCACTTCATGAATTATGTCATCTGTGTTGTCAAATCGGCAACCCCACAACAGATTTTTCATTTCTGGGAAAAGAAAAAGTCATTGGTGATGATGACATTGACAAAATTTCATCAATATACCATAATAAATTCCACGTGATTATGATACCCTCTCGTACTTCATCTTACGCTTCAATCACTTCTGACACAACCTGTAACAAAAATAAAGGACACAATGAGCTGATTTTTCTCAACATCATACACTTAGGGACCAATGATGACACTGACAAAATTTCATCTTCTGGGTGATAATTATTACTTTACGATACCCCCTCATATCTAGCCATCTTAAGCAGCAAGCAAGATTGATATCAGTAATTTACAAAGTGGGGCACTTAAGCCTTTGGAAAAGTTTCTTTTCTGGAGTAAAAGTCCCACATGTTGGCTGAGGAATCTATTATTATTTTATTCATTTATATACTGCCTTTTCCTCAAACCAGCACAGATTAAAAACATGCAAAAGTATCTGTGTGTGTGTGTGTATATAAAAACAATGTATTACAATTAAAGCCATATTAAATTCTGAAAAAGACAGAAAATTAAAATCAGAAAAACAAGGCACCATTAAAAACCCATCAGAGTTAATTCCTAAAAGCCTGATAGAACAGTATTATTATTTTTTAATCTGCTGGCAGAAGAACAGGTTATCCTAACCACATTACAGACATAGTTCCAAAGTCTGGAGCAGCCACCAAGAAAGCCATTTCCCTTGTTCCCACCCAATGTGCCCAGGAAGGCAGCAGGACAGAAAGAAGGGCCTCTTCTGAAGAGCTTTTAAGAGCTCAAACAGGTTCATAGAAGGAGATGGAGTCCTTCAGATAGTCTGGAACTGAGCCATAAGAGTTGCAGTCCAAAGAAAGTGCTTCTGCAGTCTCTGGAGACACTTGCCTGAGGGTCAGAAGCCAGCACTGAGAGCCATCATCCACCATCCAACAGCTGACTCAGGCTTGAATGCTCTTGGTGACATACTGGTGTTTCTGGGAGCTAGGCCAAACTAAATACTTTTTAGGGACATTACACATGGGGGATCATCTAGTACCTCTTTGCACAATGGCTTTGTCCACCTCTGCAGT